ATTTTGACTGGGGTGAGATGATATCTCATAGTTGTTTTCATTTGCATCTCTCTTAAAGCTAGTTATTTTGAACATTATTTGCTTGTTAGCCATCTGAATGTCACCTTCAGTGAAGTGCCTGTTCATATCCTGTGCCCATTTTTCTATTGGATTATTCACCTTTTTCTTGTTGTGTGTATAGACTTTTGTGTCTCTAGTTAGGTTCACTTCCAAGTGTGTTGCCTGTGTCATCAACTCCAGGGCTTTCATGAGTTACTTGTGCAGCACAGTATTCGATTGTGTGAATATACCACAGCGTCTCCATCCATTCGTTTGTTGATGAGCACTTAGGTTGTTTCCAACTCTTTTCTATTGTGAAAAAAAGCTGAGATAAACATGGGTGTGCAGGAGGAGGCTGGTCTTTCCCTCTTGTATGTGAGTGCCTTCCAACCTGAGAGTCTTATAATCCATCAGTGTATCAGACAATCTTTCACTGTTGCTCATAAGGCTTTTGGGTCCATTATTTCTAAAGTGGATGACCAGTTCTGCTTTTCAGTCTGTCCTATCTTGTAAACTATGCTGAAACGTGTTTGCTGTAGATTATCTGCTGGTATTTGAAATGCAGGCAGTATAACTCCCATCATCACAGTATCATGCAAGCCAACACAGCACAAACTGACTGACAAGTGGTGCTAATATCATCATAGAGGTTAGAACTGGTATCACATGTGATAATTATATCAGATCACAAAATAGAAGATAATTAAATAATACATGATTCAAAATCAGGAAAGATGTATGCCAGGGATGCATCCTATCTCCATACCTTTTCGATCTAAATTCAGAATGGATCATCCGGGAGTCTGGGCTCTATGAGGAAGAATGTGCATCAGGATTGGAGAAAGACTCATCAACAACCTACATTATGCAGATAACACAACCCTGCTTGCTGGAAATGTGAGGAAGACCTGAAATGCTTGCTGCAGAAGGTCAAGGACTGCAGTCTTCAATACGGATTGAAGTTCAATATCAAGAAAACAAAGATTCTCACCACTGGTCCAATTGACAGCACATTGGTTGAAATTGTTAACAATTTCAGCTGGCTTGGCTCCAAAATCAGCACTCTTGATACCAGCATCCAGGAAATTAAAAGATGAATTGTTGTTGTGGTTGTTATGTGCCGTCGAGTCGTTTGCGACTCATAGCGACCCTATGCACAACAGCCCTAA